GGTGGATCACTTGAGCTCAGGAGTTCGAGACCAGCCTGGCCAACATGGCGAAACCCTGTCTCTACTAAAAATACAAAAAAATTAATCGGGCGTGGTGGTGCATGCCTGTAATCCTAGCTACTCAGGAGGCTGAGGCAGGAGAATCACTTGAACCTGCAAGGTGGAGGTGGCAGTGAGCCGAGATCGCACTATTGAACTCCAGCCTGGGTGACAGAGTGAGATGCCATTACAAAAAAAAAGAAAAGAAAATTGCCCACAAAAAGCGCAAAAATCTAACAAACATGGCACTAAAGACCCTCATAAAGGACACTTGTTGACAGTGGAGAGCTGAAATCAGTTCAGCCTCCACTGGGAGCAACATGGGCGCCTGGAGACTCAAGTTCTTCTCTGCTCTGCGCACATGCGTGTCCAGGAAGGACTGAGCACTCCCGGTGTTGATTTGGAGAAATACCAACACATTTTAGCAAGTAGGAAAATTCACAAATACAGAATCCATGAATAACGAGGATCAATTGTGTTGATTACTACTGCGTTTATTCATTGCTAGTGATAGAGACAAATGCAGTTCTCATTTTATTTTTCCATAAGTTATTGGGGTACAGGTGGTGTTTGGTGACATGAGTCATTTCTTGTTTTTTGAGACAGACTTGCTCTGTTGCCCAGGTTGGAGTTCAGTGGCGCGATCTCAGCTCACTGCAACCTCTGCCTCCCCTCCCAGGTTCAAGCGATTCTCCTGCCTCAGCCTCCCGAGTAAATGAGGATTACAGGCATGTGCCACCATGCCCGGCTAATTTTTGTATTTTTAGTTGAGATAGGGTTTTGCCATGTTGTCCAGGCTGGTCTCAAACTCCTGACCTCAGGTGATCTGCCCACCTCAACCTCCCAAAGTGCTGGAATTACAGGCATGAGACACCATGCCTGGTCAGGTTACATGAGTAAGTTCTTTGTGAGATTTTGGTGCACCCATCACCCGAGCAGTATACACTGCACCCTATTTGTAGTGTTTTATCCCTCATCCCTCTCCCACTCTTCCCCGCCAAGTCTCCAAAGTCCGTTGTATCATTCTTACACTTCTGCATCCTCATAGCTTAGCTCCCACATATCAGTGAAAACATACAATCTTTGGTTTCCCATTCTTGAGTTACTTCACTTAGAATAATAGTCTCCAGTCTCATCCAGGTCACTGCAAATGCTGTTAATTCATTCCGTTTTATGGCTGAGTAGTATTCCATCGTGTGTGTGTGATATGCATATGTATATATGTGTGTGTATATATATGTATACACATCATTGTGTATACATTATCCACTCATTGATATATATATGTATACACACACACACCATAGTTTCTTTATCCACTCATTGATATATATGTATACACACACACACACACACACACACACACACACACACACACACACCATAGTTTCTTTAGATTGATGGGAATTTCGGTTGGTTCCAAGATTTTGCAATTGTAAATTCTGCTACTATAAACTTAAGGGTGCAAGTATCTGTTTCGAATGATGACTTCTTTTTCTCTGGGTGGATACGCACTAGTGGGATTACTGGATCAAACGGTAGGTCTACTTTTAGTTCTTTAAGGAATCTCCACCCTGTTTTCTATAGCAGCTGGACTAATTTACTTTCCCACCTGCAGTGTAAATGTGTTCCCTGTTCCCCACATCCACCCCAGCATCTACTGTGGTTTTGTTTTGTTTTGTTTTTTGATCATGGCCGTTCTTGCAAGGGTGAGGTGGTATCACATTGTGCTTTTGATTTGCATTTCCCTGATTATTAGTGATGTTGAGCATTTTTCATATGTTTGTTGGCCATTTGTCTATCTTGAGAACTGTCTATTCATGTCCTTAGCCTACTTTTTGATGGGATTGTTTTTTTCTTACTGATTTGAGTTCATTGTAGACTGGATATTAGTCCTTTGTCAGACGTGTAGACTGTGAAGATTTTCTCCCACTCTGTGGGTTGTCTGTTGACTCTGCTGACTGTTCCTTTTGCTATGCAAAAGCTCTTTAGTTCAGTTAAGTCCCAGCTACTTATCTTTGTTTTCATTGCATTCACTTTTGGGTTCTTGGTCATGAAATCCTTGCCTAAGACAATGTCTCGAAGGGTTTTTCCAATGTTATCCTCTAGAATTTAAATACAGTTTCAGGTCTTAGGTTTAAGTCTTTTTTTTATTTTTATTTTTTTAAACAGTTTTGCTCTTGTCGCCCAGGCTGGAGTGCAATGGCGCGATCCCGGCTCACTGCAACCTCCGCCTCCCAGGTTCAAGTGATTCTCCTGCCTCAGCCTCCCCAGTAGCTGGTATTACAGGCACCCATCACCAC